GCTGTTGTTCTTCCCCAGCACAAGAGTACTCCCCATCCTCACCGCCCATCCTCCCTGAGTCTCAAACATTTCATCCTGGAACCGGTTTTGAGTCGCTGGACATTCACCGGTTTTTGGGTCAACCCCCGAGCTTCGGATCTGCGCAGTAATTAGCTTCGGAATGACATGTTCATGATGAGTTTTTGCGGGAATTTCAAGGCATCTCTATGGCTCTATGGGGGCATCTTGCTTGATCAACCCCCTCTTTGGATTGTAAAGCCTCTTCATTGGGGGGTGATGAACCTTGCGGACGAGACCAAAAGAGGACGCCACCGTTCAGCGAACGAGGCTGTTCCGGACCGATGCTGAACTCAGCCACCGAACCGAGGGCGTCGGTCACGTCGTCACGCTGCCGTCTCCGACTTCGCACGGCACGAGTTGTGCCAGGGACAGCCCCAGCCACGAAGAGCCAGAACCAAACACAAATGAAAAATTGGGATATTACATTTATACCAGGCCCTAAGGGGCTTCTATTGCTCCTTGGAGGTTTTTTGGGGTGTCCATTAACCACCCCGACAGGTCCTGGTAGAAAGCTGCATGGGCAGTGAAAATTCTTAACCACAATTCCCTGCCAACTCGTTGGTCATGTGGTCATCGCGGCCCACTTCGGCCCCCGAGACGACGTCTCCTTCGCCTCGTTGGGTGAACTGGGACCATCGTCCCAGGAGAAAAGGAAAGAAGAAGGACCAACTATGAATTACCCTAGTGCAACTCACTATATAGACCCCCAAGTAGATAGACAAGTAGATCCCCACTAAACATGTATTGGAAACTGTTTCTATCTCTTCGGGTGGCAGACCAGCTGCCGTCGCTGACGGCATTTTGTTGAGGTCCATCCACTCCAGGACTGGAAGTCCGGCGGTTCGTGCCACCGCGCTCCGGGTCGCGCAAGCTGTGCGTCGGCCTCGAGATTAGTAGTAGCGGGCCTCGGTGTTTCACCCCGAACCCGGCGCCAAGGATTGTCAGGCGCTGGGGATGGTTCAGTTTTGGTCACCTACCGAAGGAGAATCTGACAGTCTCTGAAAGGGGAGATCGAACTGAGGTTGATCGCCATACTCTTTTGCCGTGGGAAAACACACCACAAGTGATTGGTGATGTTTCGATTCTCTTCCCCAACGCGGTGGCAACTTCCTTGTAAAGTTCTTCCCCAATTCTGGCTTCCACAGATAGAAGAACTTCCAATATAATGAACACCTGCCACACGTGCCCTGCTAGCTACATGTTTGAGGCAAGTCTGACGCTATCGTTCCCAATCCAACCTGGTCCAGCGGTCTGGAACCAAACACCTAGGAGTAGAAAAGAGGCGGAGAAAGGAACTATAACTACCAGATCCACCAGGCAAAGCGTCTCCCCCCGGAAGGAAAGACCTTCGAACGCGCCAGGTCCAGGGCTCGGTCCACTGGGTGCATCGATCCGCCCTCCACCGCGCTGGTTTCCCTGGCCTTTTAGTCCGCCCTCCATCCGCTGCGCTGAGGGCTGGGCAGAGCCATTACGCATGTCTGTTCCCTATCGAAGAAATATAGAAACGTGATGATCTCGAGCCAAGCAGAAAGGCGCGGCACAGGCAGGCTCTACTATCGCCCGCGGGAAGGAGAAGACGACAGCATCACGAGCAAGCCACGAGGTATAGAAATAGAAAACAATATTGAAGTGAGAAAGACCTCCAGGTGCCTGCTCGATATACACCAAACGCCCACACAAGCCAAAGCAGCCACTGAATAGCCCCTGTGCGTCACAAATAGCTTAATTACAGCAATTCCATGTTCAAGCAGCGCCGTTGCAATAGCAAGCGCCACAACACTCATCACCATCCCAATCCACGACCCCTCAGTCACTCCAGTGGGGAGTCAACGCCAGGCACCTGGGGCGAAGCACCGCGCCCAAAATCATGCCAGGCCTGCGACACGACGGAAGCCGATGCAGCCCTCTATGAGCTAAGGATCCACAGCTTACCCACATCAATCATGCAGCCCGGTCTCCGTGGGCATGTTTTGCATGCACACAAGCTCAGGTACCATCTGGCAGCCTTACTCAGCAGTACCATCGAGATTGCGAACATGGACTCACACCGTTCTGAGTTCCCAGAACTTTGGGCCACCGCCCAAGAACTTTGGGCTGCCTGCGAGCGAGGAGCGCCCAAAGATCCTGCCCGTTCAGCGCAGGGCCTTGGGCGTTCGCGGCCTTCGCGCACCGTGCGACGTTCGCGGCAGGTCCGACGGCTTCAGCGACTCCTTGGCGACCTGCTTGGGGTGACCAGGCGCCGACGGCGAAGTGGGACGCGTTTGGTGTCCAAAACTCTGAAGCTGCCGCCATACTCCATCTTAGGCGTCCATTTGGGGTTCAAACGATGTCTTGTTTGGCATGCAAAAGAGTGGACATGTGAAAAACTCTTGAAAACAAAATGCGTCTCGGTCCAAGCTAACTGTGCACGCAATGGACATTGGATTGTGGTGGCCTGCAACTGCCAGGATGATGGATTCTGCCAGGTTGCATATATCACGTTGGACCAACACAAAACTACCGCTCTACATCCGGTAATGTTCACCATCAATGTGCTTCCACCCTCCCCACTAAAGACGGAAGGTTTACAGTGAGTGTCGTTACGGCAAGCTGCCAGAAGAAGTTGCGTAGCATTCCTCTACCAAATGGTGCGCTTACGATATCCTAACCAACTCTTACGGGCAAATCAAGGGGGTTGCACTACGATGTGGGGACCACTCGTGTGACTGAAAGCAAGACCCATTCACAGCACCCTACGTATCGTTCCTCCCAGGGCTTCGCACCGTCAAAGAGCCGAAGAAAGCCCATGGGGAAGTAGATCTCAGTCAACGGAGCGGCACGGTGTTCGGTGTCAGTGGCATAGCACATCTGGTTTAACCACACTTATATATATATATACATATATATAATATATATTGCCTTGAAATCACTGTACTGTCCTGAGCCACATGTTGGAGGCAGCAACATCATCGGAATCGAATACACTGTACATACATACATATATATATATATGTGTGAAATAACATATGTCTATATATATATATATAGTGCGTGTGGTAGATTTATACGATTTTATACGTGTTTCTTTAGTCATGCCTAGTGTTGGTGAGTGAATCCTGAAATTCTGGACTACGGCTCACATGGCCGCGAGAAAACTCGTCTCTTTGTCTTTGCACCCACGTGGGTGCTTTGGATGTTACCGGGCCAGCTTCATAATGGATCACACTGGGCAGTAAAGGCGTGATTTCTTTTGAAATCACGGGGGTGGGTGGAAGGACACGTCCAAGGTGATTTGCCTCTATTCCCCTTGTTCCTGAGCTTCCCAAGCGTCGCGCACCTCGTAAGCCACAATGTTCGGCACCCTTAGCACCAACAGACTGATGGACCAACACCTTCTCCGCACCCACACCCACCAAAACAAGGAATTGCTTTTCGCTAAGTGAAGCAAAAATCACCTGCCAACTGTCGTCGGAGTGAATCTGCCAGACTGCTTAGGTTCGGCCTGCACAACAAACACGACCTTCTGGCTATTCTGCACATGTCCGGTGTGCTCCGGAGTCGCGTTCGCAGAACGCTGGTCTGGTCTGCTGCGCCGGGCGGCTCCATGCCCATCAGCATTTGAAGGACCGAGGACATCATGACCTGCCATTGCTTAAGGGAAAAAGGCGCAACTTTGCAGACCAACAACGGGAGGAAACCGAGGTTGCAGGCAAGGAGAACGACGTTGGTTCCGAGGCTTTGCTGCTTCCATGCCATAACAAGGATAACGAGTTTGAATTTGATGATGGCTCATGTGGGAATCAATGTCTTGCTTTTCATCCCTGCATTACAAGGTGCATGTGGCAGAACTGCAAGTATTGGAAGATGTACTCACTTCCAGCGACCCAGGACAGACAAGGAACTCTTGGCCCACCTCAACCCATTGTGAAATCGGACCCGGTAACCTTGCATAGAGCAAGGTTATCTTTCATTCGCTCCTTCTTGCGATTGATGGGTTGCGGCACACATCAAAAAGGCCAGCTGAGATTGACTTGCGCACTCATTTCTTCAGGCGGTGTTGGTGAAACATCTGCACATTCTAAATCGATGAGCCACGTATGGGCGATATGATGGTGGCATCCCAAGCTTTTCCCTGGAAATGACCGGATGAAGCCGTTTGGACTGTTTTTGGGGAATGTGTAGAATGCTGAGGGTCCACAATACACCCACACCACCTGGCCGTGCTGAATTCAGATGACAAGAAATAGATAGAACTTAAGACACATGTATATATATATATATATACACCAATCTTTCTTCGAGGCACTTTGTTATTCTCATGTTGATACATTTGTGGGTGCCATGCATGGTTTGTGCTTTTTGAATGGATTGGTTTCATGAATGGGGTCCTATCAGCGGTGCGGATATGGTTGATCACATTGGGCAGCTTCGTTTGGAAGCCCAGGCCGCAGGTGAGTCAGATGAGCCCCCTCCGTGTTGAAAGCGTGGAGGAAAAGAGTGATAGACTTGGATTTGCTTCAGTACCCAGGAAATACTTGTAAAGCTCACTGAGGACATTGGTGTCAGAAGGAATCTTCCAAAATGAATCGGAAACGTAGCATCCCTCCGCGACGTAGTAGGTCTTCCCTCGTTTCACCTTCTCGGTGGCTCGGTGACTCTGCTGCTTGGCCCGGTCTCGGGATCCTACAATGTCTATTCTCGATGTCTATCCATTTTGGGTGCTAGCTATCGGTTATGGACCATGGATGACCATGGTAGACTGTTCAAGGCTCCGTGCGAATTTTGCTGTGCGGACGTGGGTCGGGGCCTAAAACATCCTCAGAGACGGAAAACCCACCACATGCCCTCCAAATGCCCAGCTTTAAAAAAAAGTAAACAGAAAACACATTCTCACAGCCACAACTGGCCACTTCAGATGGATCCACAAAAAGGATGAGTGAGAGCTCCATGGGTTGTCTTTTTCCATCTTTTTCCCAACTCTGAGGCGGCTCCCACGGTCAGGTGGGTCAGAGGATGCCATTCACGAGACGCTGGTAGTTGTCCTTAACAAGGCAGAGGGCCAAGGGATGTCGGTGGATGGTGTCAGCCCCGCGCAAGTGGCATGAAAGACCCAGATGGCCCACCAATTGAGGCCTGAAAGACTTCAGGAGTCTCAGATACTGCCCTCCATCACCTCATTTCTTCAAAGCTGCTTCTTGGGAATTGCTTTGTTAGCCTGTTGGGTGGTCTACAATTGGAGGTCCTCATCTGCAACATGCTACACTCTGAATCTGGATGTTTCTGCCATCTAGCCCGGCAAGCGAAAGTCAACCCCCTAGTGGACACCTGCAGCATTCTTGTCAACAGATTGCCATTCCTTCCGGTCGATGGTCGGAAGGGACCGACATGTCACGTCGAAAACGACTCATTCGCTTCCCCACTCATTCGCAAGACCTCCTTTCAGCACCCCCCACTTCTCAACTGCTGCCCCCCCCCCCAAAACCTCGCCCCAAAAGCCCGGTCCAAACGCCACCTCCCAAAACCTCGCCACGCACCGCGAACCGTCCGTGCACCTCGCACGACGCCCGTCCGATGGATCTCGCCATGGGGCGTACTGGATGGTGCGCCAGTTGTTCACCGAGGTATCGATCAGCTCCACCACCTTCTCAATGCCTCCGAGGTGTCGAAGCTCCGCCCGAGAGTCTCAACGAGGTGGGGTCGGGCGTGGGTTTGGACCAATCGACCGATTCCGTCGCCAGAACTCGAGCAGTTCTGGAAGACCATCTTGATAACACGCTTCGACCTGGCCGTTTCAGGTTTTGATGCACGCAAAATCCGTGTCAAATCGTCACATGGGATGGCATGTGCATGATCAAAGTCTCAAAGTACCTATATAAGAGTTATGAGTTATGAGTGAATCTTTTCCGGCCCGAACTTCTTATTGGCTTCGTGATGCAGGTGGCATGGGAGAAGGTCCCAGTGCCCGGACAGACCGGAGACGCACGACCCGGTCACGCACGGAGTCGGGCACATCTGCCGCCAGGGGGCAGGCTTCCTCCGTCAAGTTGCAGAAGAACCTCAGTCGCGCCCAGATCGGGGAGCCATGGCATGGATGACATGAGCTGAGAAGTCACACACAAAGCCAACTCCGAAGCCGATAAAAAACCCTACTATTACCCTGGATATGGGACATCAAAAAGAAGGTGAGCTTTTGACACCTGAACCCCCACCCTCACTGGCACCCCAAACAAAGACCCCCCCCATCCGTTGTTGTGCCCATGGCATGCCCTCTCGCCTGTCTTGCAAGGTGGAGAGCACAAAGTCGGCGCCTTCGCGGAAACATGGCATCTTCGAACCCACCAGCATCATCCGCACCTGCCGAAGGAAGGTTCGCCGCAGGCGGAAGCAGAAGCGGAGAGAATAGAGTTCCTCCGTGCGCATCTGCCGTGAAACAGAGAGCCATGGGCCCCAGCGCACAAAACGGCCACCGGGAGGTGAAGCTCCGCTGGTCCGAAGCCAGTACGGATGGCAAGGTCCGGAAACCGGAACATGGGGTTTCAACCCACCACGCCCACTGCCTGGAGGACAATCCGCTCCATGTGCTTCCGGGCCTCGAGAAAGCCACGGATCAACAAGGTGCCTCGGGCGCGGGGGAAGACGTGCAGGTCTGGAGAGCGACAAAGCGCTGGGGAGGACAAGTGCTGTGTGCACCTCTCTCTTGACCTTCATGCCTCTGAAATCCGTCCCTCGGCTCCATGCTCCAGCCACGGCCCCAACACAGGCCCACTCACGCCGAAGCACGGAAGTACTCATACTGCTCGGAGCACTCGCCGTCCATGACATCCAGGATCTCCTGAAAGTGCAAGCTCTTTGTTGGGACTTGTCATCATGTAAAGGCAAGAAGGTGAGGAACTGATAGGAACTGTCAAAAAATCCACTTGCTCATTGCTTATTGTGGATGGTCATGCCGCTAGCAGCGCTACAACCCCAAAAAATATCAGTCTCTTGAGTCCTGGGCTTGACTTCTTGGCTTGAGGTGGTTCCATCCAAGAAAGCTTTACAACTTTACTCTTTATACAGATGCTTCGTGGGATTCTACACCATGGTGTAGGTTCTGAAGGGAATCGCTCGTTCTCACCCATCCCCCCCCCCATCCCCCATCGATCCCGATCCACCGCTGCACCGCCTGAGTCAACTTGAAGGGAGAGTTCTCGAAGGCCATGTTGCCGCCGGGGGAGTTCGAGAGCATGAACCTTCGGGAGTTCGACGTGACACCTACGTCGTTGGGTGCTCCTCTAAGGAAACACGCTTCGTACAGGCCCTCAGGTCTCTCACCCTCTCTTGGTCTGGTATAATCACACGTCATCCTTTTGGCATGGCCTTTAATGATGGCCTCGTCACAAGCCACTTTATCTTACTCTCTTCTCTTAATATGTTTTTCTGTGTCATTAAAATCCTTGATCTCTAAGACTCTCAGAAATGGCTTCTTTTATTCGATGGTTCATATCTTTGTTCTAATATTCAAGTAATTTCTGTCAACTACAACCGCATATTAAGAACTCAGATTAAAATAATGCCTTAACCAATAATCGCTGGCACCGACAATAAACTTACAATCACATCAGCATATATGTATTCTTTTGTTCCATACCCAAGATTAAATGCTGATGATAGAATCACCCATGAAATTCTGGTCTATAATTTTCTTGGAACTTCATGGTAGCTTTTGTCCGTTGGCAATTTCTTGATGGGTTAGTAGGTTGCCAACAACCTGACATTAAGACCCTGAGCACCCTCACTGACTTGGGTGCGACAGGGAAGAGACAAATGGGCCCCTTCTTGGATCTGGGGCTGAGAGGGATGAACCGACATGAAGGTACCATCAGAATCCTTTTGTAGGAGCTACAATAAAACCCTTGAGCTTCCGCTTAGCTTTTGGAGAATAAGCCGGAGAGGGCCCCCCACCAAAACACTGAGCCAACATGAGCTTCTCCACCCAGTAGGTCCTTCGTTGGTCCTTCCCTCCCTCAAAGAGGAAACCCTCCGCTCCACCGGTCCTCTCGTCATTCCCCTTCCCACCCAGGTGCACGACATCTCGCCATCTCCGAGGCACCCAAAGTCGATGTGCACCACATGCCCAGAGGTCAGCAACATCAAATTCCCGTTGTGGCGATCCTTCACCTGCCGCACCGAGCCCCGGGCTCCGCGCCGCGCGAAACCGGGCGAAACCGGGCGAAACCGCGCCAGGGGGTGAAGACAAACGTCTGCTTTTATGCTGAAGGAAGAGATTTGGCGATCTTGGCATGTGGGCGTCTGACCCAACCAGCAAAATGGATCCAGGTAAGCTTCTAGAAACGGTGACATGTCCGACATGTCCCTGCTGCAAGTGGAGATGCAGTTCTTGCCAAAAGTCTTGGAAGCCGCTACCCTCACACGAGGGAGACGCCGCCTGCAGGAAATACACCACCAGAGAATAGGCCGCTGAGCTCTCGATGAAGTTTTTCTTGGCTTCAAACCTGGTCTTCGCGGAGTGGCGGAGCACAGAGGCTTGAAGCAACTTGAAGCGTGGAGTTGGTTTAACCAAGTCGTGAGTCGTGACCTCTGGAATGAGCTGGTTTGATGTTCTGCATGTTGACCCATCACCTGGTTCTATCACCATAAGACAAGAAAAGGACAGAAAATGGTGACCTCCTCCAACCTCTACCTCCTCCAATCCCTCGCCGCACGGAAAATCCCAACCAGGCAGCATGCGATCGGCGAAGGCGACCTTGAAAATCTCCGCCAAGGTCTTCCCAGGGAAGAGCTTCTTCATGGCCTTGGGAATCAGCTTGGCCCATGCTCATCCAGTTCCCTAAACGGCCCTGGCACAAAAAGAATAAAAAACTGGAAAAGGGTGGAAAACGTCGTCTCCTGTATTATCTGTATTGAATGAACTCTTCAGAGGTTGCCCAGGTTGCCCAAAGAAGAGCGTGGGGAAAATGAGGAGCTTGGACGTTAAAGCCGGCCTACATCTCTCAAAACAAAACTCAGCATCGCTCACCAGGTTCGAGCCAAGTTCAAACCTATTCCACGCATTTTCGTGGCATCCCCCATCTCTCACCGTCAACGGTTTGCCCCCGAGGGACGTCCACCGAGATGGAGTCCGGGATGAACTCCAAGAAGCCGTTCGTGGAGCTCGTCACCAGCACCTCGAGGATGTCTGTCAAGTGTAAGCCACGAAGTGAACGTCAAAAGGAAGAAAGCACTACTCACTTGCCAACATGAACTGATTCTAGACACGGGCCGATCCGGCAAGTGATCCTTTGGAAGACGACTTCCCAACTTGCTTTCTTTGTTCAGTGGAAGGTCTGAGCCAGGAAGTTCTGAGCCTCTGGGCCCTGGGCAACTGTTGCTGAGTTGATGAGCTGCTAGACCCTAGGATGAACTCTGCTCCACCCATGCACCTTCGTTGCTTTCAGCCACAAAGGCAAGCCTGCTTCCTGGGCACAGCGGGGCTATGGAACAAGCGCCCAGGAGCAGCCCATAGAACCCTGCGGAGGCCCAATCCATCCCAATCCATCCAAGGAACCCTCAGAATTGGTTCACTTCTAGAGTTGTTCAAAAAACACCGCCGATCCATGTGACGGTTGAAACCCAATCGTAGGCCAGAGCATCGATCCATCCAGAGCATCGACCCCTCCCTATTCTACACCCTTGTCCTTACAGCTGCTCTCCCCACTTGAACCACCTTCCCCCACCCATGCCAGTCACCTCCCCACCTTCCTCTTCCGCACCTGGAAGATGGCGCTGAACTGCTCGATGATCTGTGAGGCCAGGAGCTCCTGTCGCAAATCGTCCCCGCCCTTCACCATCACCGCACTCCTCAGCTCCCGCTGCGTATGTCAGCATCCTCGAGGCATATGCCGACCACTACAAGAGAGAACACTAACAACACCGGTGACCTGAAGGCATATCTGTCAATCACACCAAGGGAGTGATTGAAGTCCCACATCTGTGAGACTCTTGGAAGACCTACCCTGCCATGATGGATTCTCCGTGGATGGAACCATCCAAGTTCAAGTCTATAGTCCGCTGTACGTGACTCAGATCGTTGGTTCTGGTCGGCTGAAAGGAATGAACAGAAAGCTGAAGGGAAAAAAGGACCAAGCACTACTAAGCACTTGAAAAAATACAGTGGTCATGATCATGAATCATAGACTTGAAGAGGTGCAAGTAGTGAGTCCATGGCAACGAAAAAAAGTGTCGGTGAAGAATCTCATGCTCAATTGGGTTCCACCACCTGCCCTCAAGTCATGATCGCCGAGCTTCAATCTCCAGCTACTGTAGCGGCTGTAGGGAGACGCAGCACGCACACGTTCCACCTCAGCATCAAGAACACGCGCTCGCAAACACGCCCGCATGCTGTTCGGAAACCGAACAGAACAAGTCCAAACCTCTCAAAAAAGAGCTCGTGGAATTCCTCAGTTTCTGGGGTCCCTCCACGCGCGCCAGGACCTACCACAACTCGCCAGCCCAAGAGACCTTCTCCCGCCACAACTCGCCCCATATCCGATGCCTGGCAGTACCGTGATGCGCATCTCGGGTGGGGTGCTCAGGTCGATGAACTGAACAAAGTTGGAAGGGCGGGCTGGGGTATCAGGATCTCATGCATTGGAGCTAGTTGAGGTCCATCCACCTTGCGGTTCAGTTGGTGAGCTAGGGTGGTTGATTCAAGAATTCCACAGAAGTTCAAGAATCCTCCTACCATCTCCTACCTTATATACATTGAACACAAGAACAAGAACAATATGTTAAACCTCTCAATTGCTCAGGCTTGGGCTAGGACATTTGGTTGATAAACCCATTCAAGTCTCTGGCTTTGGGCATTGTAGATTGGGGTGTGTGATCCATTTCCATCCAACCTGACCCTTTTACCACACCTTCCCCCTTCCGACCCACCCGCCATCGCCCGAAACCAACGACCCCCCCAAAACGCCTGGTGCGCGCAGCTTCCTCCTTCCTTTTCCGGGCTTCGGCCCTGTGGCAGTGTGGAGAGGGGGCCCCAGGACTGGAGATCCAGGCCCTGCGGAGACTGGAGTGTAGTCCTGGGGAGGCCAACCTTGAAACTTTAAAACATCTTCTATAGCTCTCCCGGACACGCTTGCGTCACACGCTTGCGTCATGTCTCACGCTGGGGCAACCAGGTTCACTCGAACGCCAACTCCACATGGGAAGTCATAAGAACATATATATATATAGGAAGTTGGTATAAATTAAGTCGTGTCCATCGAGTGGCCGACTGTTGCGCTAAAGCCACGACAACGAAGAAAACGATCCAAAACAAGAACGGCCCTCCCCGTCTTTCCCCTTCTTGCTCAGGATCCTCATCGTCTTCCCGTCAAGCTCCTGGCGCCAATCGTGAAGGCAAACACCTCACCCGAGCCAGAGCTATCTGACTTTTCGGGAACGAGTCCCAATCCAAGAGAGTGCCTTGACCTGGGAAGGGTCTCCATCTTGCAGAGCTCGACATTCCAGTCCTGCAAGTCTGGCTCATCTTTGCTCGCAGACTTCTCGACTGTACCATCCAAGCTCTTCCACTGGTCCGGCGTCACCTCAACCACGGCTGGACATCAAAAAAAATGGGAACTGCTACCCTTTCCCAGAGGCACCGAATCCAGAATTCAATTCTAACGCAACAAGAGGGTGAAGGCTCGACTCAGATGACTCACCAGGCTCTCCGGAGCGAACGCCGTGCCTTTGTCCCCGCCGACCCCCGTGTCCCGCGGACGGTCCAGCGCCTGCTTCAGAAGCTGATGCAGGCGGGCGGCGGTCGGTTCACCTGCCGGAAGGCGGCAGGAAAGCGAGACGGAGCGTCTGAGGAACAGGTCGGCCGAGGAGGTGCCAGTCTAGGAGGTGACAGGTCCTGCCGTTGCAAGCAGGTTGCAAAATGAGAACTTTATCTAGCAAAGTCTTGGAGCGCTGTTGGGGGGGAAGCTACATACATCCGATTTATACACTCAGACAATGATGCAACTGCAAGAGATCTGGAAATCAATGCTTTGCATTCCTGCTGGGCCCCTTTCGTGGCTTCAACCCTTTCCGAAACCTGACACTGGAACTGTGGAATGATTGACCGTAGCAACTGAATGACCGACCGTGAACCCTACCAGTTGGCACCGCTGACTGGACCATAGGTGTTTCACGAACTTCTGGCGCCGGCACGGCCTTCATCCATGCCTGCACTGCCTTCGCAGCCCAGACGCAGCTCTTGCAAGACACATCTGGATAACCTCCCGTCGCCCCAACGTGGAACACCAGGGCCCGGAGGAACATCCAGGGTTCCGGACAGTGTTTCAAGCGCCGTGGTGTTCAAGCGAAAGTTACATGTATATCCGTGCATTTTGCGAACGGATGAAAAGTGTGCCCTGGCCCCGTTCAAGCCCTTAGTTCAACATGAAGCTCGCGCGCTAAAGCTCCTTTTTACCTGGTTGGGCACTTGAGCCAAAAGTATATGGCATGTACCTGTATAGCAACTATACTGGGACCTCATCCCTATTGACACCCCCCACATCCGTGCTTCGACGGGGAAGGGAGATGAGTGGATGTAAAAACCGGAGAACGAATCATGTTCTCAAAAGTGCATTGGAGGTCAACCAGTATGTCCTATAAGACTGAATTAGCAAACGATCTTGCATTCGCTTGAAAGCTGGATCAAACAGGTAATGGAGCTACAAACGGAGAACGTGCACCTACCTATGGTATCATGCGATTACCATCGGTGTGAACACAATCCTATCTCACTCCCATGATGCCAAAATGGTCATCATGAATTACCCAAGATCCCTCAGTACTTGAAGTACCGGAAGTAGTATGTCGGTATGACCCCGATGCTCAACCATTCGTGAGTTGTCGCATGTAGTCAGCTCCGACAAAGCCAATGTAGTCCTTGATGAGCTCAACGTTCCTTGGGTTTCCCCTTCGGATCTGCTCCTCGAAGAACTTCAATTTCTGTGTTTGAGTATCGGATACCTCTATGCCATAGTAGCGGCATGCAACGAGGATCTCCTTTGTGACATTCTTCCGCTCCGATTTGATGGCGGGGCTAATGTCGATGAATTTGTATGGAGCGGCACCTTCGTCATCTGGTTTCTGGTAGTAACTATATCGACTCGCTCCGAAAGTCTTCCTGATCAAGCGTCTGATGAAATTTGAGATGAATGCCAGTTTCTCGATGATCTCTTCCTGGGTCTCAGATCTTCGAGCCTTTGGATCACTCATGTTACGCCGAGTGCTGCCGACCTCTTTGAGGTACTTGTGGCTAAGCCCGCAGCGGATTGCAGTGATCATCATCGGGTGAATAACGTGGGCATGGAATTCATAGATCTGCCACGCTTCTGTTGCATACGTGTCGTTGGTCCATTTGCTCATGCCTACGACTTCGGCTCTCTGAAGGCGTCTTGGAAACCCAGTATCCGGATCATTCGGTACAATTGGCCATCTATTGTATGGAGTATCATGTCGCTGTCCATCGTCGAACTTTCGCAGTACGTCTTCACGACTCTCAAAGCAATTGATGTCGAACGTTGCGTTGGCCAAGCTTTTGATCAACTTCATCAACCTCAGATCAAATTGCTGAGTGACTGCAAAGTTGTGGTCGATGGGGATCGCAGCTTCTTGCGGTAATTCGTCAATTGCGAAGGGGAAAGGCTGTGGAAGTTCATTCCCGTATCCATCTTGAGGGACCTCCCGATATTCGGGTTCGCCTTCGGCTTCGTCCGGTCGTTCCTTCAAAATGATAGGAACTTCCACCTCTTCCTCTCCTTCGGATTCCTCAACATCAATAACCTCTTCGGCTGTCTTGCGTGCGTTCTTGATGACTTCATCGATGTTCGCACCTGCAGCAGAAGTTGCCTCACCGGAAGAACTGGCTGGGACATCCCTCGGAGGTGATCGTTGATTGCGGTCCCTTGTCTCCTTGGGTACCACATGCGTGAGCTTCCCATTCGCGATCAAAACCGCTACGCAGTGCGGACATATCGTCAATCGCACATCGACTTCGCCAAGACAGTTAGGACACGGTCTTGAGTCATAGTCTTTCATCGCTCGGCGGTACACGATCTCCTCAAAGATTTCCTGCCACTCGGTGCTATCATACTCTGGGTAGACACCACTCTCCTCGATCATGCCCAACAGCTTTGAGATTTTGGCGTCGTCCTCGGAGTAGGTATCGTCCTGGGCCTCAACCGCTAAGCTCTCAAGCTTTTGGTAGCGTGGAGTCATGATCGGGTTTCCGTATTTGGACTCCAGAACAAGGTAGCTTCCAGGGTCGGGTTCTCTATTGAGTAACCTGATCCATTCGATCTCCTCAGGCTGTCCGGGTTCTGCATTGTCGCATTGCAACCATGCCCCTTTAACCTCATCGAAGGGAACGACGTCCTCAACCAATAGAGATCCAGTCGCTGAGATGAGAAGCCCGTACTCCTGCAGCTTCCACGCCGGAATGTAGAGAACCACTGGGCGATCACTCAATGCGACCTTACGACCCAGCCAAGGTTTTCCCTTGTAGCCCTGCTCCCATGCCCATGGCGGAAAACATGTGAAGTGGATAGAATCCCTTCCCGATGAACCGAGACCTCCTGGCACTAGCCCCCGTCGCATGATTGAAGTCAGCGCTCCAAGATTGGTAGCGTGAAATGCAGTCACCATGGATAGGGCCATGTCGTTGGTCATTCTCGATCCAATGTGGTCGATGTTGATGGTAACGTCATAACCTCCACCGTCCGATGAGTGTGCTGAGGTTGCTCTTACAGCCACGGGAAAGCACCATCCATCGCTATGGTGGAGTCTTCCTTTGGAGATTCCCATGCCCTTGAGCTCGTCAATCCATTCCTTCTCCATCGGGTCATCAGGATCATTGAGTTCATCAGGGTGAACGCGGACCGCCAACATTTGGAATCTGATCCTCTTGGTTATGCGGAAACACTCATAGTTCTGGTCGAGGTACTTCTCCAAACGCGCCTTCTTGGTCACGATGTCTATGTTGCCATAGTGATAACCGTCTTCCCAAACTGCGTTATCACCTAACAGGTCTTCCCATGACACCCATGCGCCCTCATCGCATTTGATTGGTGTGAGTCTTCCTCCTGTCCTGAACTGGCGTCCAATTCGATGCCTCAACTTCGCTCCCAATCATCGACTCAGGGCCTGGCTCGCTTGGCTGTATTCTGGTACTCGACAGTCTGGAGTCGGATACTTGTGGTTGCCGTAGTCGGAGTTCTGTGCAGCGAAAGTGACTCCGTTGATCGGTACTAGCTCAACTTTCCCGACCATTGTCATGGGGTCGATCGGCTTGTATCCCTTCTCCCTCCGTGTCGGTAGGGGATAGAATTGATGACATGCCTTTGGTTTGAGGGAACTGGAGTGCACAAATGCCTTCTCTACAAATTCGTACACCACCCTCATATCCCCAGGGCCCACTTCCGCAAGCTTCCGCCCATTGTAGGAATGTGTCCCTCCTTCGACTCCATCGGCACTTTCAATCAATGTGAACCCGTCATGGTCAAACATTGTCACGACTCTTGCTTTCAACATTTCTTTTCGCCTGAACTCGCTGTCGACCTTCCTATCTGGAGTAGGCGATGCTCTCTGCTTCTTCTTCTTAGGCTCCTCGGTTGGATGTCCGGATGGTACATCGTCGGGTGCAACCTCTCCCTTCACTCTCTTCTTCCAATCACTCAACACTGAGGTGACTGTGGGTGAAGACGAAGGGATCTTCTCGCAATTGAGAGTTGTGTGTCCCGACTTCATGCAATGGATGCAGAATTCTGCTTGCCCGATCTTCTTCTCGAATTCGTCGATGGCTTGCAGTATTGATGTCTTCGGGTCGGACATGTCAACGTCTTGCTCCTCCTTCTCCTGTTCACATTCAGTTTCCATATCGACACCTTCGGCCTCGGGCTGATCAGTAGCTTCTGCTCCCTGTTCTGGTTCTTTCCCAATTTCGAAGAAGTGGTCGATGTCGAATTCAGGAGGCGGCATGGTCCTCATGCGAACGAGAATCAGTGCCACGTTTGCCGCCTCATCAGAGTGCGGGTCCAGTGTTCTGATCATCGACCGCTTTCAGTTCTCATACGTTGTCCTGTCGTACAGCGATGCAGTGACGCGCTTGATGGATTCCTCTAATCCCGTCCTCAAAGCCTCAATGTCACCCCATCCCAAGAACAGGTGTTTGAAGAGTTGAACAATTTCTAACATGCCCAGCAGCGCTTCCACCATATCACCTACCCGTTCCTCCGTGGGATCATCTCCGAACATGGTGCGGAATACATCGGGCTCCAATATGGTCTTGAGGTATTTGGTGTAGCACACGTTTCCAAGGTCATAGGATCCCTGGTAGTACTTGGCGCTGCCGACTATCTGCTTTTCCACATGGATGCTGGGTCCTCTCCTCGTTTTGAAGAAGTTCTCCGTCATTGTTGATGACAACCTGATCCCCCCGAAGAACGAGATCTCCTTCTGGAAACCTGGGTTCCCGTTAAAGATGATCATCGCTTCGTGTAAGAACTTCATCAAGTCTACGTGCGGGTTCATCTCGGAGATCATGACGGTGGGAGAAGATACCGTTTGCCCCACGCCGAAGTTATGAAGCAATCGAGCACATGCATGAAATCGCTTCTGGACGTAGTCTTCTGCGGACATCCCACGGCATCTATTTGCTGCTCCGTTGATGCATTCTGCATAGCAATCGTCTTTCAAATCGGAGTCTATGGGATTGCAGACCAAACAGTAATCGCAGCAAATCTCCTCACCCTCCTTGAAGTCATCAATGACGTACCACCTTTGAGTCCTCGAGTATATTGGTTCTGGCTGGAGGACTCCCCAGTACTCATCCATCCATGGCATCTTGTTCTCTCTCCTTGCCTTCTCCCTCTTCCTCCGCTCAGACTCGTACTCACCTGAAGGTCCCGCAGTGGATTGATATGCATGGCTTCCTCTTACGGAATCTCCGAACAAGTACTGATACAACCTCTCTTTGTCCTGCAACACGTGTTCCAAGTTGGGATCATGGAGGCTATTCGCTTCGGTCAAGGGATCCGGTGCCATAAAGCAAGAAGCGAGCATCTTTTCTCTGAATAAGTACTTTTCCATGACAGCGTGGACCAAAGAGGTTCCAGACTTCATAGAGTAGGGGTGACCGCCTCCGGCGACCGAAATGGCTCGCCAGAATCTGTCCGACGTCGTGGACATCATGCCATTCAGCGATAGCTCGTCCTTGATCATGTTGGCGATT